GTCTGCTCGGTGACAACGTAAGCTTCAAAATGGTTGGGAGGGTGGTTAAAGGCCGCAAGAACATGTGATGCGTGAAAGTGGCCAATGCCAGGCTGTCACAAGACTGTGATGGAGCGTCGCGGCACTCGACGCGTTAAGGATATGCTTGCCAACGAGTAATTGAACAGGGCGGAAGCGCAAACGTGCATGCAGATGGCACCTCTGTAACCATGTTTGCCGGCCTTACCCCGCTCGACCCTCTTCTATCAGGGGCCAGGAAGAAAAAAAAAACTTGGACGCGACAAGAACTGAACCTGTCAGGAAGACTTTTCTGGTCTGTACGTGGACGAGGCGGATGCAACGGCATTTGTTCGCGGAACGCTCCGTGATGCATGAACGCGTGGGATCATTGCTGTATTTGTTGAGGTGCATAAGCGAGGGCAGCGAAAACGGCGCGCTCACATGTCAGAGGTGTGATGGTTGACGCCATATTGCGAGCCCGCGGGGATGCAGTTGGCAATCGCCGGTGTGTACGGAAGACGCGACATGCACTGGCGATTGCGGGGAAAGGATATGGCTGCGGGTGGGAGATGAGTGGGTGAGAAAAGAAAGGAGAGTGCAGGGTAGCAGGGTGCGCAATGGCGGATGACGTACCGACAGCCGTTGAAAGGTCTCGATTCTGGGTACGCTGTGAAATTTTCCCATGGCGCGCCCCCATGCTCTGCTTGCTAGGCACGCAATCCTTGCACCGGCTGCGGCCCATTGCCATGATGGTTGATGCGTGTGGAAAGGCAATTGATAGCGCGCAATGCTGCGCGGTGTCGCTGACTGCGGCCTTGCTATATCCATCCGCCGTGCCCTAGCTCCCGGCAGTTGGCAGTCGTTATCCACCTGGACCGCGCGCCCTCACAGTCTTGGTGCCTTCTCCACTTAAACTTCCTTGGGCCTGGAGATGTCTCGTTGACTTTTAGCTGAGAGCTGTTTATCCTTCTTGCTCTGGGCGCCATGCCTTCCCGCCTGTTCTCCCGAGACTCGCCCGCCGCCGACCAGCAGCTTCCTTTCGCCGCCGACAATGCCAACGAAGCCGACTTCGCGCAGGACCAGGCGCACGCAGAGAATGGGGGGCACAGCCTGCCGCGGCGGATAAGAGGCCAGTCGATTGCCTCGGCCGCCCTTTCGGGCTCGTACACGCGCAACCCGATCCGATCGTTTGCCCACCAGACGTCCCACGGCTTCGCTGGTGCGTATCTGAAGTCTCGCCTTCCGGCAGCATCCACTGACTGCCTTTCAGATACCCCACAGTACTCGTCGCAAGGCGTGCGCGAGAGAAGCTCCCAATTAGCGTCGTATGCCCTCGAGGCCGAAGACTACCAGGACCGGCCGCAGAGCCACAGCTATGCGGATGCCGCACAGTCGGACAGCGAGGACGGCCGCATATCGCAGCACTCGGCCCGCTGGACAGAAGCGGTCGACGAGGAGAGCGAAGCCGAGACGCCCGAGACCGTTATCGGACCACAGCAGGCAGACTGGAACTTCTTCAGCTCAAAGCCGCGAGGAGACGCCACACCAAACACAAACAGGGCCTCAGATGTGCCGGGCCTCGTAGTCGAAGATACGGAGCGGACGCCTCTGTTACCCCAGACCAGGCTCTCACGCTCAGACGCCCAGCAAAAGCAGAACTTTCGGCAAAGCCCTTCATGGGCGCCTCGAGCCAAATCGAACCTTCCCGGTCGCGTCAAGCAGACCTTTGCTGCCGGTCGGCAACACGTCCTCGACGTCGGCCGATCACTGTCCAACCCCAAAAACTACACCAAAGATGCCCTCGTCTCACGCGCCATCGGAGGCGTCCAACTTACCTCCGCCGTATTCCTCGGTCTGCTTCTCAATCTCCTCGATGCACTGTCCTACGGCTACATTCTGTTCCCGCTCGGTGCCCCCATCTTCAGCAACACCGGGCCAGATGGTATATCCATCTTCTTCGTGAGCTGCATCATATCGCAGCTCTGCTATTCCCTAGGCCTTTCCGTCTTCAAGGGTGGTGTTGGATCCGAGATGATCGAGGTTGTGCCCTTCTTCCACAAGATGGCGTACTCCATCATGAACCAGATGGAAGGCAAGCCACCCGAGGCCGTCATAGCCACCACTATCGTCTCCTACTGCCTCAGCTCCATTCTGACCGGTCTCATCTTCCTTGCCCTGGGTGCTTTCAAGCTCGGGAACCTGGTCAGCTTCTTTCCTCGACACATCCTGATCGGCTGCATTGGGGGTGTCGGTTTCTTCCTTGTCGTCACCGGTATCGAGGTTTCGGCTCGTCTAGAGGGTAGCCTCAACTATGACCTCGACACGCTGCACAAGCTCTTCTCCTCTGGCACCTGGTACCTTTGGATGCTTCCGCTTGCCCTCGCCATCACCATCATGGTACTACGCCGGCTATCCAAGAGCCCCTTCGTCTTACCCGCCTTTTTCATTTCAGTGTTTGCTGTTTTCTATCTTGTTGTCAAGGGTATCTTGCACAAAGACTTGGAGCCTGTGCGCAATGCTGGCTGGATTTTCGAGATGCCAGAAGCTGGCGTCAAGTTTTACAGGTTTTACACCTACTTCAGTAAGCATTCCAGTGAACCCAAATAACCAAGCGCTAACATTGCTGCAGAATTTGGTAGTATCGACGCGGGTGCACTTGCGAGTACCATTCCAACCATGTTCGCTTTATCCTTCTTTGGTATCATCCACGTACCCATCAACGTTCCCGCTTTAGGTGCTGCTGTGAGGGAAGACAACCTGGATGTCAACCGGGAGCTGATCGCTCACGGCATCTCCAATACTTTGTCTGGCTGCTTTGGTAGTATTCAGGTACGGAAACTCACGGCAGTCATCTGGCACACCACTAACCCATTATCAGAACTACTTGGTATACGCGAACAGTGTCATGTTTGTCGATAATGGTGGCAACAGCCGCACCGCCGGTGTTATGCTTGCCGCTGCCACGACCGCGGTTTGGCTGGCTGGCCCAGCCATGGTCGGCTTCATTCCCATCTGCCTAGTTGGCGCTCTTATCTTCCTCCTTGGCATTGATCTCATGAAGGAAGCTCTTTGGGATACCTTTGGCAAATGTCACAAGCTTGAATATCTGACTATCGTCGCCATCGTACTTATCATGGGTATTCACGACTTTGTAGTTGGTATCTTTGTCGGCATCGTCCTTGCATGCGTCAGTTACGTTGTGCAAAGCTCTCGCCACTCGGCCATCCGAGCAACCTACAGTGGCATGATTGCTGAGTCTACAGTTCGTCGCCCGCGATCAGACTCGCGCTACCTCAACAAAGTCCGAGGGCAAATTCGCGCCATAAAACTTGGAGGGTTCTTGTTCTTCGGTACGATAGTGTCGGTCGAAGAGTACATGCGCTCCTTGATCGAGGACGACCACTTTGAGAAGAACCCCATCAGCTTCATCATCGTCGACTTTACCCACGTCACAGATGTCGACTTTTCCAGCTCCGAAGGCTTCCAGCGCATCAACCGTATTTTGAACACCAAGAACGTCAAGATGATCATTTCTGGTATCTCTTTTGCCGATCCGGTCGGACGCGCTCTACAGAACGTAGGGTTGCTAGATGGAGAAGGAGACGAGGAATGCGCGCCACCTCAAATCTTCGAAGACCTCAACACAGCCCTGGAGTCCTGCGAGAACGAGCTGCTCGAGATTTTCCACAGACACTGCAACAGGCACTCGTCAAGGCAGCAAACCACACCACCCATGAGCATTTCCGGGGCCAAGAACATCTCTGGCAACGAGCCAGTCGCTACCGGCGGCTCACCCACTTCTTTCGGCGCCAGCTCTCTCAACCCCGTATTCTCCTCGCCCCGCCGCGGCGCCAGACTGATCGCCGCCCGCTCCATCATGCGCGAAAACGCCGAAGACTCGCTCTCCGTCGCCGACAATGCCTCCCACGCCACCACCCCCGCCATGCCCTCGCGCTGGCGCAACTTTGCCCAGCCCCTCAAAATCATCCTGCAAACCTTTGAAGACGTCTCCACCAAGAATGAAGACTTCTGGCAAGCCGTCGCCCCTTACTTTGAGCGCAAAGAATACCCCGCCGGCACCGTCCTCTACTCGCGCGGCGACGACCCGGACGGCTTCTACATTCTCGAAAAGGGTCGTCTGCGCACAGAGTACGAGCTCGACCAGGGCAACTTCTTCGAAGTCATCCTCCCCGGTACTACTTGTGGTGAACTTCCCTTTTTCTCGGAAACCGATCGTACGGGTACTGTGGCTGCGGAGAATGACTCGGTTGCTTGGCTGCTTACGCGTGAAAAGTATAAAGAGCTTGAAAAGAAGGATCAAGAGGTCGCGACTGAGATGCTCAAGGTTGGTCTGAAATTGACAAAGGAGAGGATGGATGCTATCACGAGTTATGTGCTTGTTACCGCGTCGTAGATGGGTATGAGGGTGTTAGGAGGGGTAGTCATGACGAAAAAAATTCTAGATTCGGATCGCGGTTGTTTTCTCTTCTTGTTTTCGGGGGGTTTTTTTTTCGTTTCTTCTTTTGGGGGACTCGAGTTGAAGTTGATGATTAAAAAGATTTTGATTTGCATAGCGTGTGGCCGCATGTTTTTTTTTGTTTCTTTCTTTCTCCTAATATCTTGCGAATGAAGATGGGACATCAAGGTTCCGGGACTCCTCAAGCTGAGGCAGAAGATGTAAAGGAACTTGAGCTTCTGCATGATCTACATGAGTAATTCCGCATTGCATGAATCAACTTCTGAATGTCAAGCTTGCCAGAGCTCAAAATGAAACTGCATTATACCCGGCTCTTAAGTTTTGACATGACGTTGCAGGATGGGGCGAACGCTAGAAGCAAGTGCGATGCAGGCCATGAAGATGGCCCACCTGCAACCAGAAAACAAAAAGCTAGTATCAAAAATATCCTCGCTGCTCGGGTCTCATCAGCCTGACCCCAGAGATTGCAAACATAAACCCCATAGGCAATATTGCAAAAGATTGGCAAAAAAGAAAGCATTTCTTAGCTGCTCTCGGTTTCGATCCGAGGTCCTCCGGGTTATGAGCCCGGCGCGCTTCCGCTGCGCCAAGCAGCTTTTGTGATTTGCTGATTGATGAAAGAAAGCGCATTGATTTCCTTTATCAAGTCCACGAAATCAATGACAATCAGAAGCCTACAGCATGGCGAGGCTCCAAGAATCAAAATTTGACAGTGGACAAAAGAAAGAGTGGATGAGGAGAGAAATTTTTCTGACGCTGAGTCATCGGCGGTGGGCTGGTTTTGGTTGGTAGGTGGGGACGTGAACGCTACCATACAGCAGCAGCATAGCAGCATAGAACATGATAACAGCGCACACTCAACCGGGGTGATGCAATGCAATGCAGAGAAACGCAATCAAGGCCATAATTATGTTGAGATTAGAAACAGGAGATTTCAAATAATCGAAGATGGAGGTGCGACAATCGCAGGGGCCGAGACGGGCACGAGGATGTGCGTGGTAGCGGAAAGAAACGGTAAAGGATAAGAAACAGTGGTATACACAACAACAACAACAACCAAAAAAACGCCTGCAATCTACCTTGCAAGACAAACACAAGCAAGACAGCTGAATCAGAACCAAAACCAAAAAACTACGTCGTCGACAATCCATTAGACACCCCTCGCCTCACACAAATGCCCGCTCTTGCTTAACACCGTTCCCAACCCCTTGTGCACCTCGACTTGGAAGCCCTCAAACGGGACCCTCTCGCCATCGATACTGATATACCCGTCCTTTTGATCGCGCGGGATGATCCTGTACGCGCTGACCTTTTTGTAATCAACGTGCTCCAGGTCGAAGAAAGTGTGGTTTTCAATCGACAGCAGCGTCTTGATGGCCGTGTGGCGCGAGAGATCGCCGCGGATGCGGACGAGGTCGAGACAGCCGTCTGAGGGGAGGGAGGCGGCGAAGAAGTTTGCGTCGGCGGACATGTAGGCTATGTTTCCGGCGTAGAAGTTGCCTAGCTTGTCGTGCGGGATCAGCTCCCAGCCGGAGGGGAGAGGGTCGCTGACTGTGCCGTATTGGAGCGCGGGGAGACCGGCATCGGGGGCGGGAAGCGCGCGGTCGTCGTTGCTGCGCGGTGGTTTGGAGCTTTCGGCGCGGTAGGCCTCGCGGACGGCGGCTTTGTTGTCGTATTCGACTTTGATGGCAATGTCGGCGGGGTATACCGTCTTGTTGATTAGCCGGACGAGGAAGCCCCAGGTGAAGCGTGCGCTTCCCATCCAGCGCAGGTGTTCGGTCGCAAGGTCGGTTTCAGCTACGATGCCGACGGCTTGCGAGAGGAAAGAAAGTGTGCGCTTGTCGCCCTGGGTGACGGAGGATAGGTCTAGCGGCGTCCGCAGGCCTTTTACGACCGCGAGTGCTGCTAGACTCGGGTCGTTGGTGCCGTTGAAGTTGAGACTCATGGCATTGCCTGACCCACACGGTAACTGTGTGACAGCAATCTTGACCAGGGCTCTCGCAGCGTCGGGTCTCTTGCCCAGCCCGTTCCAGACTTCGTGTGGGATGCCGTCTCCTGAACAGCATGCCACCACGTCGTACGCCTCAATGTCCATATTCTGCGCAATCTCCACGCCGTGGCCGTTGTGCTGTGTCTTTTCCACGTCCAGCTCGCACCTCGCTGCGGCAAAGATGGGCGCAATCGACTTGTGGTACATCTTCACGGCGCCGCCTTGTCCTCCGAACGGGTTGACGAGCACCTTGATGCGCTTCCGCCGCTGCGACGCTCCATATGCGCGATCCAACAGTCTCTCTATCCACGCTTCGGTCAAACGACTGTCGGGTTTATCGAGGCTGTAGCTGATAATGGCAGGACGAACCGACTTCTTCGATATGGTTTGCGCGTATTGGATGGTAATCTGGCCATCTTCCGAGTGTTCAGCCCAAAGGATGTTGTGAAAGGGGATTGAACGAGTGGACTTGTTCTCTGCTTCGAGTAAGTGGGTGCGGAGCGCTACAGATTCGTGCGGTGCTTACTGCCTGCAAGAGACAGACCGCAGCAGTTGGCGGTTTTGGTGTCTAGGAGGGCTTCATCGAGGACGACGAGAGAGTCGGTCCCGAGGGTCAGCGAAGCATTTCTGCCTACAGCGAGCGTATCGGGGACGCTCATATGTTCCCGGGGTTGCGACGGAGCGTTGGTCGCGGCCAAAGGATCTCGGGGATCTCTGAAGGGATCGTCGGTGCCTGCCATCGAAGCCATGATTATAACAAGATAGCAAGAGGACCTCGCAGCATACTGTGCATAGGTTTAAGTCACCCTACACCTCCGACAACAGCAGACCCAATGGTGTCGGTTGGCTGCCGTCGCGCGCATACGGGACGTGACGGAACCGTGTGGTGCTAGACAAAAAGGAAACAAGTCCGCTGGACCCTGCGTTGAAATCCGAACCGAGGCAAAGTCCCGGGCGGCAAGTCGGGAGGGAGTGCCGTGAACATGCCCAGCAAAGCGCAAGTAGTAAGCTTTGTTACTTGAATTGATTTCTTCATATCTTCCATCTTCCAAGGCTACATTAACATTTGTCGCTTGCGTCCAGTTTGTTGCTTTCAAAGCAAGCTTCTTTGCACTAACAATCGAGCAAGCAATCTTCCTTTTGCATACGCTTTGTAGTAACGCCTCTCCACCACTCCTATCTGTGGTGGTGCTGATCAACCACCAACTCATGCTACCCCGACCTTGTTCAGGCCCTTCAACGAGCCCAAGCTCAAAGCCAAACCCTGCGAGCGACTGCGAATGCGCACAAATCCGGTGATGGGCCCGTTGTCTCCTTCCTTTTCTATACTCAGGTTGGCAAGAGCATCCTCGCCTGAATCTTGTTAGTCGTGGAAAGCCAAGCGGGGTTGCGCATCTTACCAAAGACACTCCGAGCATACAAGTTCGCCGACAAGAACTGGCAGTCTCCCTTCATAGACGCTTCGGGAGTCAGGCAGCTCATGTTTGTGCATGCCATGAGCTGCTTCAGGAAATCGCGCAGAGTCTTGGCCTTGGAGTTTATGTTGACCTTGTTTTCCCATTCGAATTCGGTCCACATGGTCCGGAACTGCGTCTCGGTGCATTGCGCCGGTTTGATGTAGTCCATAATGTCCACATGTACATCGTTGAGAATGACGACGTTGGAGTCAACGCCCTTCTCACTGCGATGCGTTAGTAGAGTCGGTCAAATAGCAGCGCATAGAGCTTACCCTTCGTAGATGATGTTTCCAAAGATGACACCGGTGTCGGTAGAAGAGACTGGACGAGTAAGCGTATGAAATTGAAGCAGTTCGAGGAACTGGTCTTACCCTTGATAGTCGCTTGGATGTTGATGAAATCGTGAGGGCCAACGTTCTGGGTCGAAGGACGTTCGACTACCTTGAGGTCACCAAGAGTCGCAAACTCGATGGTGAGATTTTGTAACGTCTCTGTGGTCTGGTTTACGAGGAGCACGTCGAGGACAATGTCGAATTGGTGAACCTAACAATATCAGTACGTTGTATCCTGGCGGCTAGGGGACGTTGCCTTACCTTGACGTATGCTTCCGCGTACACTGAATCAGAGAAACCAGTAAGCTGGACAACCCGGCTGAGCTTAGATGTGAGGTCTTCGGTCGCCGTGTCGCCTCCAGTAGCGCGCTCCAAGTCTTGTTCAAACTCATCGTTGCCATCGGCATCCTTCTTCTTGAGTTGTCGGATGTTAAACGAGTCATCGACGTTGACAGCTGACTTCGCCCTCTCCGAAGCCTCCTTGGCTGCTCGTTTCTTCTCTTCCGTCTGGACCATTGTCCGGAAAGACTTTCGAGTATCCTCCAGGAAGACTGTCTTGATCTCTTTCCTTTGTGCGAATTCCGACAATGAGCGTACACATGACATGATACGGTCGACAGAGTCCTCATCAATAAACGTCTTGACAAAATGTGACTGGCCTACGCGGATGATGGAAATCATGATCAACATAGCTTCCGCGCGAAGGGCATTTGTGCGCGCAGCATCCTGGGAAATCTCTCCGTGTCGCATTACAAGCTTAGTGAGAGTACTAGACAAGACCGTCGCGAGGTAGTAGTCGCCATCAAGGAGGAGTTGTCGTAGAGGAGGCTTCTGAGAGTTCTTGACCGCCTCAAGTTTGGCCTTGGCAGCAGCGGACGATGTGAGTGCACTTTCTGTCGCATAGGTTCCGTCGGCAAGCACCTTTCGCGATCCAGAGGGGGCTGCTGATTTTGCGTGTCCATTAACCTGCTCTGACGAGTCTTTGCCTTCCGACGCGTCGTCAAGCAACCTTTGCTCAGAAGCCAGAATCGGAATCTCGCCAAGCGACGACCTGATTCCTTTCCACGCATCCCTGATGTCTTTCGCTTCTAGAGAAAACTCTCCGATGATCCACAGCACTCCTCGGTAGACCTTGCCGGCGCGTACTTCACCAAGAGTTGAAACCAGACGCTCGATGATCGAGGCTCTTAGGTCAGGGAAGCGTTCTACGACTTCCTTTACGAATGAAATAACGTCCACGGCAGAGGCATTGCTGCTAACATCGGAAATGAAGTCCATGAGCGAGCCGACCACACTAGCAGCAACCTCTGGGAACTTGATGGCGGCCGAGTGTATCGAAGAGATGAGTAGCGATCGGTATTCGGGGTTCTTCTCGTATTGTTCGTCCACCGTCTTCATCAATTCCTTCTTCAGAAGGAGAACAACCTCTTCGACATTTCTGCTGGAGATCATTTCCATGGCGATGCTGAGAGACTTTTTGCGCACATCCAAGTCTGTGCTGGACAGAACACGAAGGATCTCCATGGTCAAATCGTCGAGCACACCCTCATTCTTGTGCCGTAATTGATCGACGCGCTCCAGTACGATCAGCTTGACGTTGTTATCGGGCTCCTTGATGGCCAGTTCCACAAACTTTCCAGCAGCCGCCTTGACCGCGACCGGATTGCTTGTGAGTGTTGTAAGCGCATGCGCTGCTTCGTAGATGACTGTCGACACTTGCGATTCGAGGAGGTCGAATATCAGCCGGAGATACCTGGCCTTGTTCGAAGGGTTGACGACGGCATCCTTGCGGATGAACTCGAGTTCGGCAAGGAGGA